AAGGGCAGGGTTCAGAACTATTGTACATAGTTTTGCTATGGGTTACAGGAGATTCAACAGCACATAACAACAACAACAAAATATCCTAACTGCTTGAAACAATGGGCTTCTAGCTGTCAACTGACTGTTAGTCAAATAAAAAGATATCTTCCTTCCAGACAATAACTACTTAAAATAAGAGGCCCCCAGACCTTAAGAAATTGTTAATCACAATGGTTGCCCCTATGGATTCTACTTGGTTTAAACAAGAGGCTTTCATCATATTAGCAATGACCTACCTTCTGGAACTCAACTATTTTATGTAAGAGTCCTGCAGTTAAGTACTTGTTAATCACGTGGAGTCTTAATTGGTTTAAACATGAGGCTCTCAGCCCACAACTATTAATAAAATAAAAAGCACCTACCTTCTGATCTCAACAGATTGAAATAAGAGGCTCCCAGGCCCCAAGGAATCACAAAAGCTCATCCACTGGTTGCTAATTATTTAAACAAGAGGATCCCATCCCATAACTGACTATCAAATCAAATTGACATGACAAGAAGTTCAGAATAAGAGCCGCATAGTAAAGTGATTGGTGGCAGGGGGTGCTGTATAACAATTAAAGAAAAAAGTTAACTGGGGTGTGGGGGGGAGAGGGAGCAGGGAGGAAAATGTGCAACAATGAATAAATGGAAATAATTTCATTACAATCTCAATTTTAAAAAGGGCCCATTTTATGGATTCTAACTGCTTTAAATAAGAAGCTTCCAGGTTTTAAGCAACTTTTACTCACAAAGGACCACCCACTACATTCTAATTGGTTTAAACAAGTGGTTTCCAGCCCATGATCGAGTGTTAGGCAAATAAAAAAGTCCTACCATCTGGATTCTGTTTGTTGCTTGGTGATTTGTTTGTTTTTTTCACACAGTATACACTTTATAAACCATCTGACAGAACAGACACTGGTTCTGTGACACAGACTCCTTTTTTTCCAATTCTCTCATCTATAAAATGTGTGCTTATCATAGTTGCACACCACACAGGGTGGTGCTCATGGGATATTTATTCATTCCTTCACTCTCCACTTACTCAGCACACAGACCTGTTCAAGCTACCAAGGTTATGGCCAGCTCAGGCCAACTCAAAGAAGCTTCCTTCCCCCAAGTTCCTTGTTCAGACATAACCATGATCAGGACAGTACAAGAGGGAATAAGTCACCACTGAGCTCTCCCTGTCTCTGTACTTATGGGTGGGACATCTGTGAGCACTGTGGCAGGAGTCTACCATGGCCAGCACACCCTCCTGGGACAGGGTTTCTGCATCTGCAGTGATGGAGAGTCCCACAGTGCTCTATGCCTCTCACCAGCCTGATACCACCTCCTGACCTATCCTTACTTACTCTGGGCCTGACTCCTGCGGCCATGGCCCTCAACTTCTCTTCCTGGTCTTCCTCAATGCTGGACCATTCATATCTTTGGAAATAACCCAAGGCTTTCCCCATTGTGGTCTAATCATCCTGCCTACTGGACCAGTAATAATGCACACATTAATCTACTGTGTGCAAAATTTCCCTAGAAGAGAAGTCAAGAAGAGCCAATGGAGACCCACTCTCACACTGTGGTAGGGGCTTCAGCCCTCACTTCTTTTTCTAGATGTCCCAAAGTGCCTTAGGATGGAGCTCACCTCAGGATCCCCAGGCCCTATGCAGAACCCATGGCAGGTTTCATGCCCAGCACCGCAGGGCAGGGATTTTGGGGTGTCCCCTATGCCATTCCCTCCCAGCTCCCACCCACTCCTCAACACCTACTACTCAGAACCTAGCTAACTGCAGTCTGGTGTGCAAGTCACTTTGATGAAGGAATGAAGATTATATTTAAAGCAGAGAGCTCCCAGGTCCCAGAAGGACGGTGAGGTGCAGAATTAGCTCCTACAGTCCATCACAGAGGGGCCTGACCTGTGTTAACTATCCTCATCAGAAGGCCCTGTGCTGAGAGCACCATGTGACAAGTCTGGCCAGGCTCTGAGGGCCAGCTGTTGAGGCCTGGCCACTGGGTAGCTTCCAATGGCCTGAGGAGGAGCTCCAGCACCAGCATGACCATTTTAGTGCCATCAAGCTTCAGCACTGGAAAAATCATTGGTAAAGGACCAAAGACGGATAAGTTCCAGGCTGAAACCTGAGTGTAGCATGACCATTTTAATAGGTGCCAATGTGGCCCTGATGGACTGGACCATGGGAGACTTCAGTCTGGGAATCTTGGACCAGTGTTGAATGTTGCCACAAGGAGCATGATGGTGCAATGTGTAATGAGTTGGGCTACTGAGAAAGGTTGTAGGTGAATCCACCAATGGCTCCAAGGGAGAAATATGGGCAGGCAATCTGGTGAAGGATGTGATGAGCTGATATCCACTTGACAGCAAAGGGCTTGGATCAGGGTTTGATTTCACAGCAAAGGGCTTGGATCAGGGTTTGATTTCAGGGCTGTGATATTTCCTCCTCCACTGCCCCACCACTTTGCACTTCACCTCTGCCTCAGGTGCCCTCTACTTTGCCAGGAGCTTGAGGTATCTGCTCTGTGCCCTTGGCCTCCCCAAAATTCAGCGCAAAAGGGAAGTGAGGACTATCAAGGAAGTGGGGGCACAATAATTGTTATATCTAGGCCCAAACCTCTATCGCCAACCTGTAGAGGACAGAGAGGAAACTGAGGCCAGGAGAACAAGGTCCTACACAGGACCCATCTCAGACTGAGCTCATGCAGGCCTCACTACCTGGAACTTGCTCTATGGGAAATTGCTCTGCCCATTGTGGATCCTGTTGCAGTCATCTTTTACATACTGACCCCTGGAGTATCCAGCTACATAGTGAGGCTTGGGAATTGAGGTAACAGATACCCCCTATCCGTGCCCATTGGTAGGGGAGCAGACACCCCCAAACTCCTGTTTGGGGCTATAGTCACTTCTCAGGTCAGGAAAGGGGTCCATATGTAGCATTTGCAATGCACAAACACAGCTTTCCCCCCCTCATCTGACCTGCTGGCCTCATCCAGAAGGAACAGAGCCTAGTGGAAGCTGGCTCCCCAGCCTACTGGAGCCTCCCTGTCTCCTAACCAGTTTCTCTATTTGTGCTCACCTGTGCCCCAGCAGCTGGAAACTGGCGTTCCAGAAAAGGAACCCTGGGACTGCAGACCTGAAGCTGAAGTTTATGTTCCCACTGTGGCTGATTCTTTCCCTCCCTTTAAAAAATTATCTTTCTTTTTATTATTATTTTATACTGGTTTATTTATACTAGTTTACTTCCAAAGTTCACAAAGTTCATATACATTATTTTTTTAGGACATGGCAGCCACAAGGTGGAAGCGGGGATCTCTACTCAGCACCCACAGGCAGGCACACAGGCTGCTAAGCCCACTGTGATCTGGTGTGATCCAGGTTCTAAGCAGCCACCATCTCAGGTGTTCTGAAGGCTTTCCTTGAGCTCCAGACTTTGCATGTCCTTACTCAGTTTACCCAGGACTCTTGGCCAGTGCAGAAGCTGACTTATTGAGTAGGGGTGTGCAGGCTCTGTGTGTGGACTTGGGAGAGGTATGAGCATGTCACTTCACCAGGATGTGGCTGTGCTAGACTGGGGCTCCTGGCTCCACCCTCTCGGGCTGTGGTAGTCCTCTGGCCCAGCTGCTTTCAATAACATGTTTCAAGGACCCAAGAAACTATTAACCACAAAGTCCCACCCACAGGGTCCTAATTAGTTTAAACAAGAGGCTCCCAACCCATAACTGACTTTTTAGCAAATAAAAAAGACCTGCCTACTGGATTCCAACTGCTTTAAATAAGAGGCTTCCAGGCTCCAAACAAATATAAATGACACCCACCCACCCACAATATCCTAACTGGTTTTAAAAAGGAGCTTCCAGCCCACAACTGGTTGTTAACCAAATTAAAAAGGCCTACCTTCTGGATCCCAACTTCTTTAAATAAGTGTCTCCCAAGCCCCACACAACTGATAACACAAAATCCATCCACTGAGCACTACTTGGTTTAAACAAGAGGTTCCTAGTCCGCAAATAACTGTTTCTGTGTGCCCTTGAGTCAGAACTGATCTATACATGACCCTCTGGTGGGTTTTAAGAGGGAGTTAATCACACAGAAGATCACCCACATCCTTCTCCCACAGAACAGCTGGTGGATCCAAACCATGTGGTTCAAATTCACAACAGGGTTGCAATGCAGCTTCTTGACACTACGCTGCCAAAGCCTTCTGAATCCTAAATGCGTCAAATAATAAGCTCTCAGCCCACAACTGAGTGTTAATCAAATTAGAAAGACCTACCTTCTGGATACGAAATACTTTAAATAAGAGGCTCTCAGGCCCCAAAGAACTGTTAATCACAAAGGCCCACCTACTGGGTCTTAATTAGTTTAACCAAAAGGTTCCAAGCCCACAAATATCTGTTAATAAAATGAAAAAGACCAATCTTCCAGATCTCAACTGCTTCAAACCAGAGGCTCCCAGTCCCCAACTGTTAATCAAATTATAAAAAAGTATTTTCTGGATACCAACTGCTTTAAGTAAGAGGCTCCCAGGTTCCAAGCAACTATCAATCACAAAGGTCCACAGACTGGGTGCTATGGGTTTCAACAAGAGGCTCCCAGCCCACAACTGAGTGTTAATAAAATTTTAAAAAAAAGTAACTGGTAGTTGAATTGATAGAAATTTTTTATAATTTGTAATTTATTTATTAAATTAGATTTATTTTCCTTGATATAAAACAAGAACTACTTTTAAAAATAGTAAGTAAAGATAGAATTTTTGTTTCTGAATTATTCAGGTATCTAATTTTAAAAAGCATACACCTCTAAAAAGAAATCATCACTACAAGATACAGGCAAAAAAAGTTCTTAACACTCATGGAATATTTTCTGTTATTTATTGCAGTTCCACAGACATACAAAGTGCTGATTTGAGAGAGTAGCTAGCCCTTATTGTGGTAAGGCCATTCTGTGAAACCAAACAACCAGATGTTCTTTAAAGCAGCCTTCGAATCCATTCTGCTTCTGGCTAAGGAATAAATTAGAAAAATAAAAATAGAAAATTAAACCTTGTCTTCTATTTCTAGAGTTTTCCTATTGTGTTAAAATCTACACTAGGGTATAGAAATCATTGATAGAAAGCAATTTTAACAGCTGATTATTTCTTGTTAGAAATATATGTTCCTAGACTCCAACTCAGATCTAACAAATAAAAATTACAGAAGATGCCATCCCATAAAGTTCTTATTCAGAGTTCCTATGTGATTTCTAATGATCAGTGAGGATGACAAGATATACTGAATTTTTATCTGGCCACAAGCATTCATGTAATAAATAGCCAAGACTCAACTATATTAAATTATTAGTATAAGTTCTCACAGCTATCTCAATGAACCATTGTTGTCTAGTATCGTCAAATCAGAACTGACTAATAGCTGACCCTCCAATGGTTTTCAAAGGCAGTTAATCACAGAGGAGGAGATTGCCTATCCTTCTCGCACGGAGTGGTTGGGAGATTCAAATCACTTGCTTATGAGATTGCAGCACAGGTTCTTATCACTATGCCAGTAGAGCTCCCTAAGCCTTTTTAATTAAAGATAGAAAATGCATTTAAAAAATAGCTGATGGAATCTCCAAAAATCCACCATACTATTAAAGAATGTGTTTTTTCAGTTTTCATATTACTCTTTGCCCAGAATTATGTCGTTTCTCCTATTTGCAAACAAGTAATTTTTTACTTTTTTGTTTTGAATACTAATAAACATCAGTATTTTTCATAATTTTCCTTCCCTTTTTTATTCAAATGTATACACATCCTAAGAGATTCCTAATAGTTAAACATGCCTTTTGTAATTTCAGATTTAAAAAATCAGTAAATTTGTCGTAGTTTTGCAAGGAATATTGATGCTCATCTGTTCTAATATCCTACAATGTTATGATTTTGTTCCTTAAGTGTATATCTCTTTTTAGAAATTGCATATTTGTGTTTATTTAAATATCTTATGATTTTCATTAATATATCTCACTAGTAGCACTTTTTATTCAAAGTTCAATACTCCTTCCTTCATTATGCTCCCTTCCCAACAAGGTACAAAGTTTGGGCTATACAATGTATTGATGGCATATTTAAGCCCTGAGCTGCTAACTGAAAGACAGACATATTGAACCCTTTCAATGACTCCACGGGAGAAAAACTTGGTGATATGTTTCCATTAAGATTACAGACAAGAATACTTTTTGTGGAGCTATTTTATTCTGCCACATGGGATCTCAATGAGATGAAATAAACTAACTCTCCCCTAAGAATAACAAACATTGTCTACACAGTGTAATTTGGAACAGGCCTTAAAATCTCACTTTTAGAAATAGTTCATACTACTTCAAATGCTAGATAATACTCCAACAATAATTGAAATTCATTCATTTACATTTTGGCTCCAAGAACTTTAAAGGTTTCAATTAAAATACAGATATTGTTGGAAGGGTAACTCCAATTAAGGATTTTAGTTAGAATTTTCTTGACATCTCAGGGGATAACAGAAAAATAATTTTCCACACAGGAACAATTTCAGAGAATGTCCAAAAATTGGGACATTATTTAAGGAGTATAGATTCTATAGTTATTTATGTATTTTATCAACATTCAGAGATCAACAAGGAGACGTCAAATCTCAAAGGGGGCAGAAAAAAAAAGGGTGAGGAAGATGGAATAGGACCATTCCATTCTTAAAACAAACAAACAAACAAACAAACAAGCAAACAAACTCAAAATTTAAAAAAATTAAAAACTTTCTGAGGTAAAATCAGTTCAGTGACTTTCCATGGGATCCCCAAAGGTGTGAATATTTATGAGAGGACACTGCCAATCTTTTTACCTTGGTGCAGTTGGTAGATTCAAATGACTGACCTTTTGGGTAGCAGTCTAACATGTAACACACCACGGCATCAGGAATTTTAATTGTATGCTTAAAAATCTCACTAAAAAGTTGAGTCCAACTCGACAATGACCCTCCATCAGGTTTCTGAGGCTGTACATTTTTTCCATGAGGAGATTACCCATCTTTCTTCTCTAGAGTGGCTGGTGAACTGTCAACTTTTTAATTAGAGCTCAACTTGTTACACACTATGCTATCAGGGTTCCTTTAAAACACAGTAAAGCAGAAGTACAGTAAAACAGTTATAAAACAGGCAGAAATATTCTTTTGGAAGCATATATTCTTTAAACTGAACCAACTGACATAAGGGTATAACTTAGAACTTTATTTATCTTTATTTAACTTCATTTGTAGTTTTGTATTTAAACACATACACACAAATTGAGGAGAGACTAAAAATATTTTACTGCTGCTGTTGTGAACTTTAGACTCTCATTGCAATCATTATACTAATTTCAAATCCTGTATGCCTCCTACTACCCACTTTGTACAATTTTGGGTTGTGAATTTTTGTCTTCTTTAGTTAATTTTTGAGATAATCCTTCAATAATCCAACTCATGATGACATTTCACATCCTGAATCTCCTATTATCTAATAAAATATTCTTGGAAAGATAGCTCCTAATAGTTTACAACTGTCAAAGTTCTATTCATCCTTTATAAGCCAGCTCAAATATAACTTTCTCCATTCTTGCTGAATAAATGAACTGGAGTATCTAAATATTAATTTTATCCAGATTCATCAGAGTTATTATAAAGACTCAGAAATTCTTTCATAATTTATTATCACTTCTCTATCAAATGCCATATAAATTTACTTAGTCAACAAATATTTATGAAAGTAGGTGTGTCAGAGACAGTGAGATTGCCTCAAGATAGGACAGGATTCAGAATCATTGTGCATAGGTTGCTATTGAGTTGCAGTTGACTCAATGGCACACAACAATAACAAACTGAATTTTATCTACTACATATATTCTTCACATATTGATCCTTCAAAACGGAAATGAAAGTACTACATGAAATATTTTTTATTAGAAATTTGTCATGTTGACTGAAATTTTCGTATGGGAAGTTCCATCATCAATATGAATTCTGGCATGACTCAAAGAGATCAGCAAATACAATATTACATGAATATATTTAAAAAAGAGCAAATACTATATAAGACCATTCTTGTGAAAATAGGAGGATAACTGAGCAAGATGTTTACAAATGTTTAAAAGAGAAAGGAGAAAGGGAGAAGAAGCTGGAAAAGGGAAATCACTAGGATAGCTGTGTTTAGTAGGCACATGAATGAATAGGGAAGATTCAATAGGTACTTTGAAAAGATAGGATGGTAATAGGCATAGTCCAAAAGTAATTAATTATATAAGATTAAATGTATATTATTGATTGTGTCAAAAACAATGTACATGTATGAAGCACAGTGTACATTAATGACTGTATGCAAACCAATAAAATTTTGTAAAAATACAAAATGTACCTTTTTTTTACTTTATGGTTTAGGGCAAACAACAGGATTTTTTGAGGTTTTTTAAAAATTAAATACAGGAATAACAATAGGGGAGAAAGAAAGAGATTCATGACAGTAGAAAAGAAAAAAAGGTAGGGTACTCTTAGAATTTCCAAGCTTGAAGACCTAAAAAAGGAAATTTAGAGATGCAATAGTGAAGGATTCTATGGGCAATGTATTGACTGATGTGGGAACTAGCAACAAAAAAATGGAAGAATTTCACAGAACAAAAAGAAATGGTTAACACCAAACCATTTCAGGAAATAGCATGTGTTTAAGAACCAACAGTAATGAAGAAAGAAATTCAAGCTTCAGTGAACACATTGGCAAAATGCAAGGCTCTAGGGACTAATGGAATAGATTCTCAAATAAATCCCAAGAAATTTGGAAGACAGCTACCTGGCCAACAGAATGGAAGTGATCTATATTTGTTCTCATTCCAATAGAAGGTGATAAAAATATGGAAAGTACAGAACAGTATCATTAATATTACATGCAAGAAAATCTTGCTTAAGATTATTTTTTAAATGGCTGGAGTACTGCATAGAAAGAGAACTGTCAGGCATTCAAGTTGGATTTTGCAGAGGTCATGGAATATGGTAACTCAGTACTTAATTCAGAATAAAGCCAAGAGCACCAGAAAGATGTTCATGTATGCCTTATTAGGGACTATAGAATGGGAATTCCAGAACACTTAATTATGGTCATGCAAAACCTGTACATAGAGCAAGAAGCAATCATAGGACCAAAACAAGGGTATTTTTCATGGATTAAAATCAGGAACAATTTCTGTCAGGGTAGTATATTTCTTCCATACCCATTGGACTTTATGAAGAAAAATATGGCATAAAGATTGGAAGAAGATCCATCAACAACCTGTGTAATGCAGATGATACAATCTTACTTGCGACGAGAACTTGAGACGCTTGCTGTAGAAGATCAATGACTGCAGTTTTCAATATGGACTACATTTCAACATCAAGGAAACAAAAATCTTCAACACTGGTCTAATAGGCAATATCTCTATCAATGGAAGAAAGATTGAAATTGTAAAAAAAAATCATCTTACTTGGATCCACAATCAACTCCCTTAGTAGCAGCAGTTAGGAGATTAGGAGAGACATATCATTGAGAAAGTCTGCTATCAGCGAACTTTCCAAAACCATGAAGAGCAAGGACATCAGTTTAGAGACTAAAATACACCTAATTCAAAACTTAATCTTTCCAATCACCTGCTATGCCTATGAGAGCTGCACAGTGATTAAGGATGACAGAAGAAGAATGGTTGCCCTTGAGTTGTAGTGTTAGAGAAAAGTACTGTGTATGCCATGGATTGCCAAAAGGACAAGTAGATATGTCTTGGAGAAAGTGTAACCAGAGGGATTCTTAGAGGCAAGGATGGTGAAACTTCATCTTACTTACTTTGGGCATGTTGCTAGGAGAGGCTATTCCTTGGATAGGAAATAAAGAAAGAACAATGGAGCCAAAGAGAAGAAGAGTCTCAATGAGATAGACTGACACAATGACTTCAGCAATAGGCTGAGGCATATCAGAGATGATGAGGATGGCACAGGATAGGATAGGATAGGACAGGATCTGTTGTTCATAGCGTCATTATGAGTTGCACTCTACCCAACAGCACCTAACAACAACATTCAATCTATATATTAAGAAAATAATTCAAGAAACTGGACTGTATATATTATACAGCTGACATAAGCTTGCTTATAGAAAGTGAAGAAGATTTAAAATACTACCTGAAGGTCAAAGACTATGGCCTTCAATATGGATTAAATCCCAGCACCAAGAAAACAAAAATCTTCACTAGATCAATGGGCAGCATTATAATAGGTGAAGAAAAAAGTTGATGTCAATGATTTTTGTTTTATTTGGGTTTACAATCAAATCTTATGGTAGCAACAGCAAAAAAAAAATAAAAAAATTGTGTTGGGAAAATCTGTCATCAAGGAACTCTTTAAAGTAAAAAGAACAATAATGTCCATTTAAAGACCAAGGTGAGTACATTGCAAGCTATGTTATTTCCAAATGCTTTGTATGCATTTAAAAGTCAGACAATGAATAAGAAAAATAGTTAAAGAATAAATGTCTTTGAATTTTCTTATTGATGAGGAATATGGAATATTCTAGGGACTGTCAACAAATTTGTCTTACTGGAAATGCTCCTTAGAGGCAAGGATGATGAAAGTTTGTTTCACATATTTTGGGCATATTATCAAGAGGGGTTTGTCCTTGGAAAGGGACATGATATTGGGGAAAGTGTAGGGTCATTGTAAGAGTAGACATTTAAATAGATGGATTGAGACAATGTCTGTAACAATAGTTTGAGTATTGTGGATATCATGACAACAGATAGGGACAGGGCAAGTTTTCTATCTGATATTCATAGTATGCCAATGAATCATAGTTGAGTCTAAGGCATCTAATAATAACAACATGTAAAGCTATTACAGATACAGAAGTAACTAGCAAGAGTAAAGAATAGAGATAGAATAAAGGATATTTCCATGAAGCTATAGTTTCTCTTTTCTTTTTTCATGTGAAATTTGTACCTAGATCAAGAGGCTATTGTGCAAACAGAGCTAAAAGAACATTACATGGTTTAAAATTTAAAAAGGTGCATGTCAGAGTTGAATCTTTTATTCTTATTTATTTAATCTGTATTTTGAGCAAATTATTTGAGAAGCTGGACCTTATAAAGAATGTGACATCAGGATTGGAAGAAGGTTCATCAATAACATTTTTTTGTGCAGATGACACAATCTTGCTTGCTGAAAATGAGGAGGACTTGAAGCACTTGCTGCAGAAGGTCAAATACTATAGCCTTTAATATGAATTGCATTTCAATGCCAAGGGAAAAAAATCCTTACCACTGGACTGATAGGCAACAAGCATCATGATATATGGAGAAAAGATTCAAACTATCAACTATTTCATTTTACTTGTATCTACAATCAAATTCAAGCCACAAGTTGCAATACTTAAGAATGCTATGGGCAGACTATATAATGATACAGGAAGTATTAAAAGAAGGTTGAAGGAGTATACAGAGTCATTGTACCAAAAAGAATTGGTTGACACAGAATTTAAAGAAACAACATATAATCAAGAAGCAATGGTGATGAAGGGGGAAGTTCAGGGTGCTCTGAACGAGTTGGCAAAAAAATAAGACCCCAGGAACTGATGGAACACCAACTGACAATTCAACAAACAGATGTTGCTCTGGATGTACTCACCAGGTTGTGCCAAGATATATAGAGGACAACCACCTGACCAACTGACTGGAAGAGATCCATATTTACTCCCTTCCAAAAAACAGGTGACCTGACAGAGGGTGGACATTATCAAACAATATCATTAGTATCACACACAAGTAAACTCCTGTTGAAGATTATCCAATAAATGACTGGAACAATACATTGACAGAGAACTACCAGAAATAAAAGCTGGGTTTAGAAAAAGTTGTGATACTAGAGACATTATCGTCAATGTCAGATGGATCTTGGTTGAAAGCAAAGAGTACCAGAAGAGTGTCTGTGTTTCATTGAATATGAGAATGGGAATCCCAGAACACTTGATTGTGCTCATGTGAAACCTATAATCAGAACCGAAAGTAGTACTCAGAACAGAGCACGGAAACAGTACATGGTTCAAAATAACGAAAGGAATGTGTCTTGACTCCATACCTTTTCAATCTATATGCAGAACAGATCATTTGGGAGGCTGGGCTTTATGATGAGGAATGTGGCATTAGGTTTGGAGGAAGACCCATCAACAATTATGTAGATGGAACAACCTTGCTTGCTGAAACTGAGGAGGCTCTGAAGTGCTTACTGCTTAAGGTCAAGAACTGTAGTCTTCAGTATGGATTCAAGCTCAACATCAAGAAGACAAATATTCTCACCACTGGGCCAATTGGCAGCACCATGATAGATGGAAAAGAGTTTGAAGTTGTTAACAATTACAGCTTGCTAGGCTCCACAAACAACACTTTTGGTACCAGCAATCAGAAAAGCAAAAGACTAATTGTGCTGGGAAAATCAGCTGTCAGGGACCTCTCCACAGTACTGAGAAACAATGAGGTCAGTTTAGAGACTAAGGTGCACCTCACAATTACTTGCTATGCATCAGAGAACTGGACAATGACGAAGGATGACAGAAGAAGAATTGATACCTTTGAGTTGTGGTGCTAGAGAAGAATCTTGAACATGTAATAGACAGTCAAGAAAACAAATAGGTCTGTCTTGGAGAGGGTGAAACCAAGTTTCTCCTTGGAAGCTAGGATTCTGAAGCTCCATCTCACATACTTTGGGCACATGTCCAAGAGAGACTGGTCCTTGAAGAAGAACATCATGCTCCTAAGGGTGGAGGGACAGTGCAGGAAAGGAAGTTTCCAGATGAGAAGTAATGATTCAGTAACTGGGACAATGGGAGTAGGTATGTCCGAGTCAGAGACGGGCACAGGACAGGGTAGGCTTCAGAGCTGTTGTATATAGGGTTGCTATGAGTTGCAGGTGATTCAACAGCACATAACAACAACAATACTGTGAGATGGCTTCATTATTTATAATAATGGAAATATTGATTATATATTATACATATGTATTTTTTAATTCTTTTGGAAAAATAATCTGAAAATCAGAGTAGTACCCAAGAATAATTCTATCTGCAACGCTTCGTTGTTTGTTACTATGTGCTGTTGAGTCGACTCTGACTCATAGCTCTGAACCCTATTCTAAGCCAATTTCTTTGTCTCTGACACACCTACCCCTATTACTCCAGTCACTGAGTCAACCCATATCTCATCAAGGCTCTTCCTCTATTGTTCTGTCCCTCTACCCTTCCAAGCACCATGTCACTTTCAAGGAAGGACTGGTCCTTCCTTGCAACATGCTCAAAGTATGTAAGATGGAGCCTCAAAATCCTTGCCTCCAAGGAGCAGACTGATTTCACCCTCTCCAGGTGGACCTGTTCTCCTAGCATATGTTCAATATTTTTCTATAGCACCACAACTCAAAGACATTGATTATTCTTCTATTAGCTTTAGTCATTGTCCAGCTCTCTAATGCATAGCAAGTAATTGTGAAGACCATGGCCCAGATCAGGCGCACCTTTGTCTCTAGACTAATATCATTGCTCTTTGCTCTTCAGTACTCGGGAGAGGCCCCTTAAAGCAGATTTTCCCAATTCAATTAATCATTTGATTTCTTGGTTGTTAGTACCAAGAGTGCTGATTGTGGAGCCAAGCAAACTGAAGCTGTTAAGAATTCATTCTCTTCACCATCTATCATGATGCTGTCAGTTGGCCCAGTGGTGAGAATCTTTATTTACTTTTTTGCCTTTTATTCTGGTTTATTTTATTTTTTCTTTTAAATAATTTATTTTATACTGGTTTACTTACCAAATTTGTGTACATTGTTTTTTCACACTGGATCTTTCCCATTAAAGTACTACTCACCTTCTTTATTTCTAAGAGTCTTTCTCAAGCATATAATTAAACTTATAAAGAATATATAAGACTTATAAAAATATATTTGTGTAATTTGGACTAAAAGTAAAAAAAAAGTATAAATATACCAAAGGAGCATATCTTGGTTTTGGAGGTGGAGGAGGCATCCTGCACCGACAGGGACGTTTAATCTTAGATGATGGTGATAAAGGTTCACAAGGAGGTAGTGGTGGCCTTTCTCTTGAGGCAGGAAATCTACCTATAAATGTTTTCTTTTCTTTTTCTTTGAATGTGGTCTTCTTGGATAACATTCTGAATCCTTTTTTTACATCCTGCATTCCCTTCTTTGAATCTATAGATGTGGCATCTGAATCATCAACTCCTCTATTTTTAGGCCCTAGTTTATAAAGTGACTCTTCAGATTCAACATCTGAATCTTTTAATACTGACTTTAAGGGCTTTCTTTGGCCTTTCTTGGAGTAATCATCAGATTCGACATCTGTAGACTCTATGTCTTTCTTTGCTTGTTTTCTTGCATCCTTTTTATCCTTCTTTGACTCCAATTCAGATTCAGCATCAGTAGAAATTGCATATTTACTTGCATTCTTTTTTCCCTCTTTCCTTGAATCTTTCTTATCCTTCTTTTTATCACCTTTATTCTTCTTTGACTCTACTTCAGACTCAGATTCAGTATCAGTAGACATTTTGTTCTTTTTATCCTTCTTACTGTCTTTTTTTGAATCCTTTTTATCCTTTTCACCTCTTTTACTTTTCTTTAACTCCAATTCTGATTCAGATTCAACATTAGTAGACTCTGCATCCTCCTTTTCATTCTTCTGTTTGTCTTTATTTGAATCTTTCTTATGCTTCTTCACATCTTTCTTTACGTCCTTTGAGTCTACAGATTCAACATCAGTAGAATCTGTGTCCTTCAGTTCCTTCTTCTTAGTGTCTTTCTTCACATTTTTTTTATCTTTCTTTGCAGCCTTTGTATCTACAGATTCAGCATCAGTAGATTCAGATTCATTCTTTTTGTCTTTCTTCTTATTGTCTTTCTTTGCATTTTTCTTATCCTTCTTTGCATCCTTTGAGTCTGTAGATTCAGCATCAGAGGTCTTTAAATATTTTTTTGTATCTTTCTTTGCACCTTTCTTTGAGTTATTCTGAGAGTAATTCTTTTGCAACATATTAAAATCCATCCATTCTTCTAAATATATCTCTGAATCCACATTTGAACTATTTTTGGAGACAATTTCTGATTCAGCATCAAGATCCTTCTTTGAAATCTTCTTAGAACTTTTCTTTGGATCAATTTTTGCACATATAAATTTAGTATCTGTTTTCTTGAAATTTTTTGAATATTTTTTAACGGTTTTTTTAACTTTCTTTGATATGTCATTAGAATCTTTGGATTCTGAATTTGAAAGTGATTTGGAATTTGGCTGTTTGAATGGTACATTTTCATGTGATGGAATTTTAATTGCTTTGTTATTTCTTTTATATTTTTCATCTTTTATTGTTTCTTTTGATTCTAGAGGTCGTGTATGCTGGTCTGGTTCTTTATTAGAGTTTTTCTTAACATCTGCTTTTTTTATGCCATCTTCAGACTTTTTAGATTTTACCTTTTCAGAATAGGTTTTGGAAATATAAGAACATTTGAATGGAACTTGTCTGTTCATAGCAAAGTATTTAGATGGCCTTTGGGATTTTTTTCCTAAAGAATGCCTTATCCATATGTGAGCTTTCTTCTGGTCTTCCTTTAATTGTCTTTTGCCGTGTCTCTGAAAAAATTGATAAGAATAATGACAGGCATTTGTAAATGAGCCATTTAACTTTTATATCACAACATCAAAATGATTTAATTTTTCATTAATCTATTTAAAATTGTAAAAACAATGTCTTCTCTTCCAAAATTGTTTGTTCATGAGTAAGTATATGAGAAACACACACACAGAGAAGGAGGGAGAACTCAATTTGAGGGATATACATTTTAAGAAACACATTTAGAGGCCTTATTAGCATTAGAGCAGGTTCACAATAGTCCATAACATTTCAGGACCTCTCCTCTCACTTGACAGTGGGTTCCCATTCTATCTTTGTATAAGGGAGAGCTTTTGGATAATTTTGCTCACTTTTTATACCCAAGTTATCTCATAAATAAGCGGATCCCCTTGAAGTTTATATTAAATTCTTGTTATAGGTGTAAGCTTCAGATTTAGCCTTGTTTCTACCTCTTATATCTAAGTCTCTGGTCAGTGTTAAAGCCCAAGATGTCTACTAGTATAAATAACTAGAAACAAAAAGTAAGAGAGAGATACCTACTAGTGTAAACAACTATGAAACAAAAAAAGGAAGATAAAATAAATATTTCATTCACGTTAATTGATGTTACAATGGGGTAATGTTTTCAAAGTCTACTCAGTTATCAAATATGATTATCATTTTAGTCACATAGACTGATCTTAGATGTACCTCATTTCAGCCATGGTATTTTCTATTGCCTCATATGCATATGGAAGTAGGACAATGAATTAAATAAAGAAGTATTGATACCTTTGAATTGTGTTGTTGGTAAGGAATATTGATTATACCATGGTCTGTCAAATGGAATATATCTATTTTAGAAGAAGTACTATCAGAATACTCCTTAGAAATGAAAACAATGAAACTTAGTCACATGTACTTTGGTCTGGAGATGTCAATCCCTGGAGAAAGACTTGGTAAAGTAGAGGGTAAGTGGAACAAAGAAAGATACTGAGTCTTTTTATGATGTGATGAATTGATATAGTAGTTACAAAAATGGTCTTAAGCACACAAGCAATTATGAGGATGGTGCAAGATTGGTCATAGAGTATATAGGAGTTACTCAAATGCATCTAACAAAAAAAATACCTTCAACTAGTCATTACAGTGACCGATAGTCAATTAATTGGCCATATAGGATTAAAGGACAACTTGAAGACAAGCATGAAACTTGAATCACCATGGATGCAACGAATGATTCTAGAATAAATGCAATAACTATAACTCTTTGTTGAGAGACTCTTAAAAACAAAATATTTTTATATCTCCATACCTTCCCTTCCCTCTTTGCTAATGTACAAGGTTAGTCTACTTCATAGAAGCAGTCAATAAATATGAGTATTTAAGTATCTATTGTGTATCATAGAGTAGAAAGTGTCCCACAGCTCACCCTACAGTGAGTTTTCAGAGACAATAAGTTGGACGAGGGTTGATTATCCATCTTTCTTCCACAGAGTGATTTGAATCACATACTTCTGAGCTGGCAGCACGATCCCTTACCACTAAGTTACCCAAGCTCCTTATACAAATATCCTGAATTTTAGATTAAAGAAAATAGGGAGGACCTCATATCTCATCAAAATTAGATTTTACTCTGCTTGAAATAGATGCTATTTTTGGAGTTGGTTAACATTTCTGTAATAGGTTTTCCAGTTTGCATCACCTTTTGGCTATGAAAATCATGCAATTAAAGTTCACTCTGAAACAGGTGGAAGAAATATTTTTATAAATAATTTTTAAATTTAAAAAACCCTCCAAACTGTTTCTAACAAACAGTAAAAGCGAAATTACCTATGACTTACTTATATTTATATATTTTATGCACACTAATATTAGGGTGCTTTTTAAAGTGATCTTTTTCAATACTTACAGGAACTGTGTTTGGTAACTTCAAAAGTCTTGATCTCTTTTTCCTACCTGGCTGGCATGGTTTGGGAAATGTCAAAGCCAAGTGTTCTTTATTCCATGATTTTCTGTTTGATAAACTGACTAAAGTAAGAGAATATTAAAAGTAGTATGGAGTTAATAGTCATATTTTCATCAGAATGGAAATATTTGTGAATGAGAAAGACATCATTTAAATTAAATTAGTAATACCTAAAATAAAGCTTTTTCCTCAGAAATATGTGGTTGACTTACATTTCAGTTAAAGAAAATGAAATCTTATCTCACTGTTTACCTTTGAATTACGTTAATGAGATTGTAATTTTATTTTCTAGATTAAATAAATTTTTGTTTCAACCATAAGGGTTAAAATAATATCAGAAATAAATGAAAAAGATAGAAATTCACTACTTTTCAAACTACTCTATTATATCTTCTATCTTGGTTTCTTTTCTACAGGCCATTTGTGTTGGATTGAAGAAAATATGACATCTTCTTTTATGGCTTTGATAACAAATATTACGTTCAATTCTTGGAATTCTGTTTATTGAAGACCATACACAGATTTGAGGGGGATCCAGAGAGTCAGGAAGATAAGACTGTCTTGAAGCTAGGGACTGGAGATGAGAAGACCAACGAGAGATGTGACATTACATTAAAATAAGAAAAAAATTTTATAAATCGCAGTAGTAGTATTATGGCCACAACTACTAATATTTACACAGTGCTGTTTGTGCCAGATTGTAGTCTAAGATCAAATAAAGTTGATTATTACACAGGGCACAAAAACACTTTCAATTTTTGATTGGTCTGGAAATCTGGGAAAGAGGTGAGACCATGTACTGTGGTGAGGTAAAGTGAGATGATGTAGTGACAGTCGTTAACCTCTCTAAGTAAAAGTGGAGGACTCTGACTGGGGAGAAGTGGGGGGGGGGAAGAAATATTATCTACTTGCTGGAATTTTTGTTGTTGCTAATCAGCCTAGAATTATCTGAAGTTTCTTGGCTTCTGTGGTTCCAAATATGTGAGCGGCTGACAATTTCTTATGCTGTTAACAGTTTAGTGGTAATGTCTCTGAGGGAGGTTGATGTGTCCTGTAGAACTGGTGTATAGATTGTACTTTTTCTTCTTGGCCCAAGGGTCGCAGGCCTGAAGGTCCGAATGATCTTGGGGCAGCCTCTGGCCTTTTGTACCTGTGGGCGTGGTAATGCTTTTCCCAGGACTTGCTTCTCTATTGTTTGGCCCCCGCTTCTGTTCGAGTGCGCCCATTCCTGTCTCCCCACTGCCCTCCGATCCCTCTGTCTCCGGAGGGTGAAGATGGGAAATAAGTGGATCAACACACTGGGCCAAGGGCAGGGACAACACTGTAACTAATGCTTAACTCCACAATGAGGGATTTATCATTCACTGTTCTATAAACTGCTTGTCTGTTGGATACCCCTAAATCTGAACATTCAGATTAAGACAGACTAGGAAGAAGGATTGGCCATCCACTTCTGAAATAGCAGGCCTCTGAAAACCCTATGTACAACAGAACACACATACACTAACAGAGAGGGAAATGAGGTAGAACTTTCAAGTTTGGAAATACAAAGGAAGAGGAAGAGTTGTAAGCAGACACTAGTGATTGGAACATGGAATGTGAGAACCATGAATGCAGGAAAATTAGATGTTGTTAAGAAAGAAATGGAACTCATAAATATTGACATAGTAGGCATTGGAGAGATGAGATGGACCGGCATGGGGCATTTTTAGTCAGATGATCATATGATATATTATTACTCTGGAGATGAAAAGGTGAGGAAAAATGGAGTGGTTTTCATAGTTAAAAAGGTAATTTCTAGATCCGTCTTGAAGTACAACATTGTGAGTGACAGGATAATATCCATACGCTTACAAGGAAGTCCAGTGAATACCACTATCATTCATATATATTCACCAACAACCAGAGCCAAAGAAGAAGAAATAGATGATTTCTACCAACTTTTACAGTCAGAGATTGATCAAACATGCAATCAAGGTGCTTTGATAATAATAGGTGGCTGAAATGCAAAAGTTGGGAACAGAGAAGAAGAATCAGTAGTTGGAAAACATGGACTTGGTGAGAGAAATGAAACTGGAAATAGAATGACTGAATTTTACACAATCAATGACCTATTCATTGCAAATAAGTTTTTTAAGAGATATAAACACAGGTAATACACATGGATTTCACCTGATGGTATGCATAGGAATCAGATCGATTATATCTGCAGAAAGAACTGCCTGAGAAGCTCAGTATCAGCTGTGAAAACCAAAACAGGAGCTGATTATAAAACAGACCACCAGCTACTCATATGCAAGTTCAAGCTGAAACTGAGGAAAATTAAACCGAATCCATGGGAACCAAAATATGACTTTGAATCTATTCCACCTGAATTTCAGAACCATCTCAGGAACAGGTTTGAGGCTTTGAACACTAATGAGCGAAGACCAGATGAGTTGTGGGAGGATATCAAGGGTATCATCCAGGAAGAGTGCAAACGGTCATTGCAAAGACAGAAGAG